CATTCATTTCTCCACCGCTACAGTTTGGAGAGTAACAAAGATTTTTGAATTCTAGAAGATAGTTCACTCCCTGGGATTCTTTTGTCGGAATAGCGGAACATTGTTTGTTTGTTTCTTGCTTTTCCTTAAATCATTGCACCGCCAAACGGTTGCGGTTGGTTGACAGGTATTTAGAGGCCTGTTCGATTGTCCTTGCTCTACCTAATGAACTTGATTTTTTCTTATAACTTTATTTGTTTACATCATGCCATGAACAGAGACAACTATGGGAAAGAATCAACTTTAGCAAATTTAGCAATACAAACGCACAGGCCTTAGATGGCGATTTCAAAGGTCCCGGTAGTCGTTAGTCGGCAGAATTGAGCGGTCGGCTAGGTTGCAGCGAGATCTCTAAAGGCGGATTCATGTAACATTCATTATAATTACATTTTCACTACATTACAATTATATTTTCACTAGCTGCGAGGTACCCGTTCATGCAACGTATGCTCATAATGAACTAATTGTTCCGTCCATCTCCTTTGTTATGTCCTTTTATGTAAACTTAAAATAATAATGAATTTCCATGCATTATCTGCTATCTGTGTTTGGCTCACTGTATATCTCAAAATTGAATTCGCGCATCAGGTCTTTAAGGTTTTACATGCAGCGCCTCCAAGTGGCGACCGCGGATAAATGAATCAGAACTTTTCGTACATCGAATCCGACATTCAATTTGATCGCCTTGGATCTTTCCAAGTAAAATTTTCTCAACAATAGCAAAATTTGCGTCCTTCAGACGTTGATGGAACATTAAGTGTCCAATTAAGGATTATAGTTATCTCTCGTGACGCGAGTGGTACCCGATAGTTCCTGAGGGAAGATCATTCATCCCATACGTCCAGTCCAGAGTGCCGGCCGGCCCGTCACAACATAATTCCACGGAATAACCATAAGGAAAGATCTTAAAGACCACGCTCAATTTGCCTCCAGTCCATTTCTTTCTCTCCTGAGACTTTACGGGTAAGGGATTCAACCCCCTTACGTAACGCTAATTATTCGAGGTTATGTGATTTGGTTGGATTTTCCAAATTTTTATAGGTTATTCAAGAATATGGATTCATTTTGAATATAATATCTGAGGCGAATCACAAATATTTTTGTGGAAAAAATGATCATTCAATGATCTAATCTTGCAAATCAGTCGTTTTCACTAGAACGATAATGTAATTATAATGAATTGCTAAAAGTTGGTCAACTTCTTAGTACACTAATGTGATGAAAATGTAATGAAAATGTGTTGTGTGGCATTAACGCATTCTATGAAATAGGAGTTTTCAACATTCTGGATTTATAATCTAATGAAAATGTAATTATAATGACTGTTGCATGAATCGACCTTTAGAAGTCTAGAAATGAACAAGTGAACTGTCTTGTTATACAGGGTTTGTCATGATGAACTGTACATACTCCTACTACGAATAGAGGTCCCTGAGGGAAATACCTATAATGTCCATCAGAAAGTTTCTTCTTCACTTCTTTTCCAATATATAGGGTGAATTATGAGATTTGGCAAAAACATCTTTTGGTCATAACTTTTGAACAGCTTCTTCGATTCGTCTGATTTTTTCATGGAATATTCCGCTACTACTCTGTATAATCGACCGACTTATTCAGAATCGGAAAAATCCAGGACCGTTCTTGAAAAAGTTTGATAATTTAGTTAATCATCCTGTATATCGTTTTTGTAAACTGTGACAGGGAATTCTCAAAGCTCCTAAATAAATATCAGAAATAAAATATTCCAAATTTTTCTCACACTTTCACTTCAGTTTGAAAAAACTATGAATTTCATGAAAAAACGAAAATTTGGCAAAAAATGTTTTTATTTGGAAATTAATACTTCGCAACCCTTAAATTTTACGAATAAAAGTGACACTTATAATAATAATAATAATAATAATAAAGTTTATTCACAAGATCAGGTTCAAAAAAATACAAAATTCAAAGATTCTACACTGAGTTGATGTAAATAAACAAAGCTACCCACAAAAATCATTGATTGCGCGTGGGGGTTATATTTATTCAATCTTTCATAAGCTATGATCTCAATAAATCTAGGTATAGGTATAGTATGTATATATATATATATATAAGTATATGTATATTTTTATATAGGTAATCTTATGTAAATATTCATCTACTAGCTACAATATGATGACCAAATTGAAAATAAATAAAGATAATTAATTACAAATCAAAATAAACAAAAAACGAATAATAAAATAAATACAATGGGGAAATATTAATGAACACAATAGACTCATCTTCGCATTTTCCATTAACCATGCTCATATATCAACACATTCTTATGATGGAAATAATATTAATTTTGTTTACTCATTGTTCGGATTAATCAAGTGATGAATTATTATTCTATTTATATTAAGCAAATATCTCTTCACTTTTGTTCTGAACAATTTTAGATTATTGATCCCATATTTAATATCAGTTGGCAGGGTATTGAATAATCTTGCTGCCAGAATTGGATATTAATGAGATGGGTCGATAGTTCGATACATTTTTATTATCACCGCTTTTGAAAATTGGTATGATCATTGATTCTTTAAATTGTAGGGGGCAAGTGCCACTTTCAAATACCTTATTAATTATGTGAGTCAACGGTTTTTTTATCTCATCTTTTACTGCTTTCAGAGTCTCAGCTCGCAGTCCATCAATCCCAGGAGCTTTGTTATTCGACAATGATTCAATAGTTTCACTAACTTCTTGTTCGTCTGACGGGAAAAGAAATATGGATTGCTCCATGCGGTGTCTGGGAGGGGGTGGAGTCACTGGTTTTTTAATTTTCAATGCATAATTTTTACCTACATTCACAAAGAAGTTGTTAAATTCGTTGGCAATTTCTTTGTCTCCTGTGATTTCTGTTCCCTCCACGATAATTTTGAGACTTACATCTTCAATGCTTCAGCTCGATAGAAATCAACATATTATGCATATTCAGTCCTGGATTAAGTGATTCAATTTTTTTGTGGAGGATAATAATCACCCTGTAGTTTTTTTGGAATCAGTGAATGGGGTATCTGTGGAAATATTGTATAGATAATCTTATGATATCAATCTACAGTCTTATCTATTTGATTTGTTTTATTCATTTAATTTGGTCACTTATTTTCCATCCTAGAATTATTATCCGCCTTTGTCAGTATATATATGTATATAGCTTTTAAAAAATAATCGTGAATAAACCATTATTTTCCGTTCGACTATCTTGGAATATTTGAATCGACAACCATCAACATCTAAACAAATACCCCATCCACTGATTCGACAAAGAACTACAGGGTGATTATTATACCCTCCACAAAAAATGAAATGACGAAATCCAGGCCTGCAAATGAAAGAACATGTTGATTTCCATATTGGACTGAAGCATTCAAATATAGTGAGTCTTAATTTTATTCGTGAAATTTATTCGTTGCGTAGTAATTATTTTCGAATGAATGAATTTGTTGTCAAACTTTCGTTTTTGCTTAAAATTTATCGTTCTTCGAAAAATTCCGTAAGAGTGTGAGGAGAATTTTGAATACTTCATTTTTGATGCTTGTTTGTGTGCTTTGAAAAGTCCCTGTCACAGTTTACGAAAACCATATACAGGATGAACTTTATGATGAAAACTGAACTATCGAAAAACGGTCCTTAATTTTTCCGATTCTGGAAATGTCAGTCAATAAGGGTTTAGTAGAGAAATATCCCATAAAAAAATTAGACGAATCGAAGGACCTGTTGAAAAGTTATGCCCCAAAGATGTTTTTGCCAAATCTCATGATTCACTCTATATACTGGTAACGAAGAGAAGAAGACATTTTCTGATGATCATCAGACATCCCCCTCAAGGGCCTCTATTCGTGGAGTATGATCAAGAGCTCGCGTGAAAGATGGTTAAAGTAAATATTCCAAAGGTATGATGGTTTTGATTGAAGTACCCCACAATAGTAAGTATAACACCACCCGTCTGCCACCTTCAAGTGGGGGCATTAATTCAGGAGGGGGAGTTGAAAGGTCAATTTTTTTGTCAATAGATTAAAGTAGTTCTTCCAGACTGAAAATCTGACCAAATGTTCCCTTTGTCATTGTGAATAGAACTGTGCTTCCAGATTTTGAGCAGACGGGGGCGTTATCGTAGCAGACGCCGTCAAAAATATGTCAAAAATGTCAAATGACAAAAATGAATATTCCAACTTGCATTTCGCATCAAATGATAGACAATGGAAATATCTACAAGTTTTCTTGGGAAAAAAAGCAGCAGACGGCGGTACAGAGCAGGCAGACGCCCATTTGTCATGCGAAGTGGTTTCCTTATTTTTTTCTGGACGATATCTAAATGATGTTATTCCAGGCTGAAATTCGGTACATTTGTTATGTTTTTGGTTGTGAATATCACTGTGATTTCAGATTTTGAGCAGACGAAGTCGTTATCGAAGCAGACGCCGTTAAAAATATGTCAAAATTATCAAAAATATGCCAACATTCTCAAATGACAATAATAAATATTCCAACTTGTATTTTGCATCAAATGATAGAGAATCAAAGAATCTACAACTAAGAATCTACAACTTGCCTCTGTAGAAAAAATCACAAGACGGCGGCACAGAACCGGCAGACTCCCATTTGTCTTGTTAAATATTTTTTCGGACGATACGTATGCGACGTCATTCCAAGTTCAAACATGGAGCATATGGTATTTTTTGTTCGAAACATTCACAATATTTTCAAATTCTGATGAGTATTCCTTCTCTCATATGCAAAAAGGTTTCCAAATTATTGAAAATTGAAAAATAAATAGGATACACATCCAGACAAACAGTTCAATTTACTAGAACTAGATGAATATTATAGATTTAATCAAAGATGAACATTACTTTTATATTAAAAAGTAGAAGATTCAAGAAAAAGATAACAGAACATAACAAATGAAACTCATGGAAATATGCCATTAACTACTACTCATCATCGTCGTTACTGTGAGCGTCTTCAGATTCAACTTCACTTGAATCATCGGCAGCTACTGGTACTTCATTTAGGTTTTGCGGAAATTGTTCGCTCTGGAACCATTTTATTTTATATTCGCCGTCTTCTTTAACCCATCCATTTCCTTCCGGGTTGAAGAAGTTTGGTTTCTCATTAAAAGCAAATTTCCAAATAGCTGCAATTTGATTTTCACGTCGTATTTTGCAAATCAATGTATCCTTGCAAGAAGGGATACGACTGGCCTCAAAATTCTTGATACCCCCGAAAATAGATTGGTTCGATTTTGGCTTGCAGCAATCCAAGAAAATTTCGAACCGAGCCTTATTGACGCTGGATAATTTTCGTTTCCCATAAATTTCGCAAACGTATTCTTCTATATCTAGAGAAAAAGAACATTATCCAATTATCGAATTACTATTGAATATCGATGCATACCTTCAATTGTTTTATGAGACAGCGTTTCACTCTCTCCCATTCTACTGAAAGCTTCTTGGAACTTTTTGCTCTTCTCTAGTGATTTGAAAGGAGTCAGCTTTGCTTTTGGCAAATGAGGCTGTGTAGTCACAACCTGTGAAGGCGTGAAATGCTGGTAAAGCATTACACAAACTGGTACCCAGAGTGAATGCGATTTTATTGATGTCGACCAACCTCAGGTTTACGAAAAGGTTCATCAACCATTCGCAGAACCGAGCCAAAGAGCTACTCAGCCTCAGCAAACCTGAGCTGAAGCTTATCACAGGCTTTCTCACAGGACACGGCCCTCTGAGGTACAACCTCAAAAAGATGGGTCTGGCGGAGACTGACACTTGCCGCTTTTGTAACAATGCGACCGAAACCACGGAACACATACTTTGCTCATGTGAAGTATTAGTCCGCCAATGGCTGAACCACCTAGAACAGGTCTATCTCACCCCTGCTGAAGTGGAAAAGTCAACCGTCAGGAAAATCGTAGGCTTCATCAGAAGTCTAGGGTTAGAGGACCAAAACTAGATAGAGGTAATCACAATAGATCTTCTAGGTCGCAGTGATCGAGAAGTCTCCCAGCCTATACGACCCATCTACAATCTACAATCTCCAATCTAACCTCAGGTTGTTCTTGGACAAAGTACCACATTCCATCCATATTTGAAGTTATAAAGCCATATTTTTGCTGCAAAATTAGGTAACATGATTGACCAGTACATAAAATTTAGAGTTTTCAATTTGAACTAACCAAAAAGTTCTCTGAAACACACAAACACAAAATCTTTCAATAACAATCACTACAATGTTTTTGATGTCAAAGAAAATTGAACAATACTACCACTATTTTGAATTAACGACCTTCACACAAGAAGTACAGAGCTAGTTTTATCAATGTGAACCCCCCTTCATCTTCTTTATTTTCTATCCATTCGAGAAGATTCAAAACTGATTTTTTTACAATATTTTATATTGATTTCAATCATATTGAGAGAGTGTGGCAATATCTCTTCAAATATACAGGGTATACAGAAATATATTGTTTTTTTTATATGGAATGCATTGTATATTCTGATAGATCATGATCCTTCTATACATATGTTTGAAATCAGGATAATATTTATTCACACACATAAATGTACATAAATCTACATAGAGTAGGTATTCTGACAGAGAGTGAACAAACAATTAATAGGTGAATAAACGATACTCAAAAAGTGACCGAACACTTGTTTCGAGAATGATTACAGAGAGCTAAAAAAAATGAAAATATCGTATATAATAATAATAATAATAATAATAATAATAAGCAGGTTAGGTTGGGTTTATGGTATTGACAAATAATTATCAGAATTTTCAATACATTTATGTGAATATTTCATAAATTAGACGAAGATATAATATTGTGAAGATAAAAGGATGAAACACGAATGAAAATAAATAAATAAAACTATCAAACTAGTGGCATAGTATAAACGCTATATCTATATACCTATATGTATATTGTTTACTAAAAGTGTTGAAAGTATGATTCTCATCTTGGATTGTCATTTTGATTGTTCAATTCAATTCAATTTTCGATTACATCATGTATGAGTTTTCTCGGTGTTTGAGAAATATGGATGATTTGGGACATTCAAATTTATCGAAATATACAGGGCGTTTCATTTGAAAAGTATATTATTTATTTTTGTATTCCCTGTATATTTGATTAGATATTGCATCATTGTCAATTTTTAAATTTTTCGAAAGGGTAGAAAACAAAAAAGATAGAGAGGGGTTCACATTTATAAAACTAGCCCTGTACATCAATTTTCTAGTGTCCGTTCGTAAAAACAAAAACGAATGAGAAACACAATTCACACCCCACTCTCCAGAGCGTCGCACGTGCAGGGTCGTCTTCGAAGCACCGATGATTCAGTAATAAAGAAATCTACAAAAAATGTGTTGAATACGTCTTCCTCAAAACAGATACAGTAGTGAGTGAATATTTCATTCCATTTCCATACAGATATAGATTGTAATAAGTCGTAGGTATATAGACAGAAGTTGAGAGATATTTAATAAGACAAATGGGCGTCTGCCGGTTCTGTGCCGCCGTCTTATGATTTTTTCTTTAGAGGAAAGTTGTAGATTCTTCGATTCCCTATCATTTGATGCAAAAAACAAGTTGAAATATTTATTCTTGTCATTTTACATTTTTGACATATTTTTGACGGCGTCTGCTTCGATAACGACTTCGTCTGCTCAAAATCTGAAATCACAGTGATATTCACAACCAAAAACATAACAAATGTACCGAATTTCAGTAGGAGGGTTATGTGAGTGCACCTCAGAGGTGCAGCAACCTTGAACGTCAGCGACCTTGGACGTGGGCGGTCTTGTGCGTGTGACGACGCGGCCTTCGAAGGGCTCTGGAGAGAGCTGCTATGCCGTTTGTAACGACCTTGGACGTGGGTGGTCTTGTGCGTGTGACGAAACGGCCTTCGAAGATCTCTGGAGAGAGCTGCTATGCCGTTTGTATCGACCAGGACCGTGCGACGAAGCGGGAATCGCATGGTATTCACCGTAGTAGGTACCGCTTTCGATGTTCAAATACCAGTTGCAGTTCAAGGACGTCTTTGTTAGAAGTTTCTTTCGGTTCGATGAATGCTGGAATGTATCTTATACTTACGAATATTTATGGCATCCACCGCACCGTTTTTCGGTCCTCGAGTACGTACCTACGTAGGGCGATGCATACAATTTTAACTTTCCAATCATTACGCTTGGATATGCTATTTACTATACGCAAAGTTTTGTCTACCTTCACACTCTTGACTCGCTATTGAATTCTCACTCTTTCCGCTGTAGGTAAGTTACATTTAACATTTTTTTGGCATTCTTTCGAATAGCAAGTCAAGTCTATGATTGAAATTACATTAACCGCTTACAATAGCTGGCTCAACAAGCTGATGTATGAATATAAAAGCAATCATTTGTATCCTTGGAGCATGTGGCGTTGGTTGTGGCCTTGAAAGTCTGTGTGTGTGAACATACTTGTTCAAGGTCGCTGTCATAGAATCTTTTCTTTCCTTTGATATTCCCCCACCACATTTCTATACTATATAACCAGGTAAATCCTAGATTTGAAAACACAAAATAGAAGCGACTCGTTTGGTGAAGATACAAGTATTGAAATAATTTTGAACAAGTTTCTCGTGAGAAGGTGAAGTGTGTTGTGTAAGTTGGAATATTTTTATATATTTATCATACCTCCCTTTCGCTGTGCAATTTACGATTATTTGAAGAAATATGTCTGTAGTACGTGCGATTGATTTAGACTCCATCAATAAAATGATCAACCGCGATGCTGATATCATCCAACAAATATCGATTTCAACTCTGATCGTAGGCCATCCCTACGTAATTGAAAGAATATGTTGTTGCGTAACTAGATTCGGAAAAGGGGTTTATACATTATTATGCGATGAACGTGACGGCGCTACTTTCAAATGTTGGCTTCCAAAACGTGTCTCAGATAATTTGAGCGAAGGTGATATTGAAGTTATGAATTCAACCAATGGGGGATATAGTCTGACATACACAGGCCAGAGTAAACCAGGATTTGTAGGGGCGAAATCGAGGTCTCTCATTAGATTCGATAGCCGATAATAATTTTCTTAATACTTTAGACGACTTTGACTTTTTTTCTCGTTTACCTTAGATATAATCAATAAGCATAGTTATACGGAAGGGTGGATGAAAAATATTTAGAAATAGTTACTTACATATCACATACTAGTAATCTCTTTCAATGTAATAATCATTATTATTGTAAGTATATAGTCAACCTGTCAGATGAGATGTGTATGTTAATGTCTTATATTTGTTTCAGATACCAGACTTTCAAGCCTCCCCCGAACACAATGTGGATGCACTATTCAAGCCAGGGATGGGATAAAGCAGAAGACATCGATTCTGGAATAAGGAGGTTAGCATGTGAATTCAGAGATCTAGAAATGGATGCTATACATGCTACTAATTATGATATGAACGTGTGTTTTGATCCCGTGGAGATTCGAAGACTCTCCGATCTAGCTGATCAATATAGAATTGGCTTGGAATTGTGTCGTCGGTTTGGATATGGAAGTTTGAGCTTAGATGCGTTTTGTCAAGATATGGTGGAAGCTGAATTGAAAGGGTTCTTGTATGAAATATTCGATTTCCTTCCTGGCAGCATCATTGGCAAATATAACCTATATCGAGAATCTGAGGAAGAAGATGATACTGATGATGGCAAGGGTGACAGTGGTGTAGACGAAGCTGGGGATATCAAAACATAGTAATTTAATATCTCTCTTTTGATGTAATTATATGCTGTCTATACTGTAACGCTATTAGGTAGTTAATTTTTTCAATAAATGTTTGATATAACCATATGTTATTTTATCATTCCAAGTAAGTAGTTGAAAATTAAATTGTGGCGAAAAAGAGGTTGATGTAGTGATGTGTGACATAAATGAAAGTATTTCCAAGAACTTATAACTTACAAAAGTTCAAAACAGATTCTAACACCTACCTCCTCTCCCTATCCTCCTCCCTAGGTATTTCCTTTCGTGTGCTCCAAGAGATAAAAAAAAGGTGTATATAAAGTCATAGATGGAGATATTTAGCGAATTATATATCTTTGAATGCAATCATTAACCTATTCAGATGAATATATTTGTATGAAAAAAAAAAGATAAATAACATTATTTTTTATTAATACAGAGTAAGTAAATAAATACAATATATTGATATATATTTCAAGGAGCTCTTGTTTGAATCGATCCATCCAAAGCGCTATAGGTCAGATATGCATCATGAAGAATTAACGCATAGACTCTGGTATTGTCAGGAAATTGTGTTCTACGAGTCTCAAACTCCAGCTTGATATCAACGTTTGATGACTTCAGAGCATCTGGTTGGTGGCGGCAATCAATGAGAAACAGAGGATTCTTTCTGAATTCTTCAATGTTCATCATCGGTTCACCCATATCTTTATCGTAGTAGCTTCTCTGGAAATTTTCATAGGCGTAATAGGCTGCTGAGTCTAGTTTTTTGTCAAAATCCAGATTCCAGCGTTCATATGGATAGACTTCGGAATTCAAATATAGGCGGATATTATTGATGTTGGCATGTGTGAATTTTGTTACATCCTTCGATATATCATCGGAATTCTCAATATTTTGAAAACCGATAATTATGTATCGAGGTCGTTCAAGGCTAGTTGTGGTTTTCACAGCCCATATATCTGTAGCTGTTCTACGAAGAGACGGTAATTCGTATAATTCCCACATGCGGTATGCCATTTTTACCTTAGCATTGTCACTACTACTTCTATTGATGCGATTCAATAACTTCAATTTTTGTCTATCCTCCGGAATTATGTGCTTGATCTTCCATTCAACTTTCGTGATTTCCAAAGCAGCATCAACCTCACCGATGTACGAGTTTTTGAATGAGCGTGCAATAATGAGTATCAGCTCTTGTTTCACATTCAAAATGCCCTTGTTATAGTCTTCAGCGAATCCCATGAGATATTTGAGTGGTAACTTCCCACTGAATACGTGGCTGGTTGAATCCAAAATGAATTGTTTATTTTGATTTAGCCCCCATCCTATGGTTTCCAAGGAAGTCTTACTAGTCTGCCCATACGATATAAGAGTTTTCATCGTACTAGTTATACCAGGTTTTCGAACGACAGCAACCTGTTCACCGCCCATTTCGTATCGGATTTCATCGAATAGGAATGCTAGAGCATTATTCGATAGGTAGCAAATCTTTGTCAAATCACTGGGTGTGAACTTCCCTTCAATGTAGATGTAGCTGTCGGAAATATCCAATATAAGATCTTGAAAGTTGATTGGAATCCGTATCTCATCGGAATTCTTGAAATATGGTGAGCCATACGGTTTATAGGTATGCTCATGGAGGCTGATCAGTGAGTTGTCGAGAAGGGGTTCCTCGAAAACATCCAATTTCTCGCTGGTAGTAGTAGCAATCATTGCAGCAGTATCGCGGTAATGACAAAATATTAATTTCAACACACAATCAACCCTATGGATCTGAGGAACTTTTGTTCGCTTACGGATATCTTACGTCTTGACGGGGCGGTAACTCCTTGACGAATGACTTGATATCCGTATCCGTGTTTCCTTTTATTGATGGTGTATCGACCTTTTTCGATGTTCTCACAACTATCCGGCTTGGATCGACGACTGTAGCAAAATCCCATTTTCTATCTCTTAACCGCTCTCTTTTTCTCTCTCTAAGGAAGGTGTGTGCGTATGTGTCTCTTTCAGGCGAGCTTTTTCAATTCCAACTTCACTATAATTATTTCTCCTCGGAAATCCACTAAGCGACCCTTGTCGTCCAATATGCTTATGGTAATGTTGTCAATATACTGACGACCTTCAGGACTGATCGGCATATAAATAATATTTCGAGGTTCCTTAGAAAGCTTGTACCCAGGCTCTACATCAACATCAAACTCGTATAATGTATGCACCGCTTCACCATCGAGGTATGCTCCTGCTGTAATATTACAATCAACCCTTATCAGTCGCACCTTAATTATACTCACTGGTAGTGTGGATTCATGTAATTCATTGGGTGGGTAAAGTTTCGCTTCGAATCCGAGTACGCTAGCAATAGAATTCTCCACATTAAAATCTATCTTATACTCGCTTTTCATTTCACATTTAAGAGTATTATTATTAGCACGAAGAAAGAACACATCATCAATATGTCGCCCATTCAGTAGTACTATTTGATCTGTAGATTTTTGTATAGCTCTATTGATTTCATCCACTTCATACACACCTGGCGGTATACTGAATACTTTGGAGACGGAAATATTTCCTTGCTCAAACCAAAATCCCATTGCATTATTTGTCTCATCCACGTTCAGTATAGAGTTGTAGGAGTAGAAACCATGCAAGCCTAATCCATAACTACTATTCACATCGAGTTCTATGGGAGGATAGAAATTTGCGCTTAATACACTCGATTCTGATGATAAAGTAAAAGTTCGGGACATGATTGATAGAGTACTTTATTGTTTCAAGCAACAGAGATGAATGAGCCGTTTTTTCATCGGCGGAGTATTAATATCCAAATCATTATTAGCAATAACATTAACAGCATTTATACGACAGTAGCAGCAAAATATCTTTCGACGGTTCGGTCCATCATTAACATCGGAACTGGAATTGTCTTGCACATGTTCTTCGCAGTATTGGTACTTGGCAATGTCGACATCGTTTTGAAGATCCACCGGTAACTTATCCCATACCAACGCTATTTCATGGGGTGCGCAACCGATCATCACCTCCTTAGGCATATCAGCAAGTTGATGCCTACTCATCTTCAATAAACTGCGCAATCTCGAAAAAGCTATCAATGAATGGCCCATTCGTTTGATGCTTTCCCGATCGAATTCAGGTGTTGCTGCCATCTTCTATTCAATTTGCTTCGAGTTGTTGGTTGTTAAAAATCTCAGGCACAAATGCCCGCACCAGACTGTGTTGAATTGTTGCTGGCGGTCGTAATTATATAGGATTTTGATTGGTTCACTCGAATCACTTGCAAGATACTGTATCAATTCTTTGGGTGGGGGTAAATCACCATAGCTATCAAAGTAAGTGACAGTACCATATCGCTTCTTGTACGCAACCCAATGTGTACCGCTACCACGAATTCCATCCAAGTTAATTATAGCTGATTCATTGCGATGCGGACCGGAATCTGGTAAGTTGTCACGCATGAAAACGCCTCTGAAATATGGAACTCTCATCTCCTCAGCATACTTCATTATATCATAATTGGATAGAGGTTTTCGGGGTAGGGACTCTAGAAGTTTTTTGAATTCTGTGGTCTGAGATAGATACCCAAACCCTTTCGATAGGGCTTCAAATACAATCCTTTACCGGTTTTCCCGATGGCTATCGCCTCCATATGTTGATTATGACGATTTGCTTCAGCTAACTGTTCTCTGGTAGCTCTAGCCGATTGTACAGCTTTTGTTATTCCAGCAGCAGCACCAGCCAAACTACCGAGTGCTGATAGGCCGGCAAAGATCGGTATTAGCGGGAGAAAACCTCCAACTTTGGGGATAGGTATAATGCGCGGGGTGCGAATATTTTTCTTTCCACCTGCGATTTTGACGTATTTACGCGCTGCCTGATAAGCTATAGCTGCAGCTTTGTCCATATTCTTCTCGAGCTTCTTATTTCCACCGGCCTGATGACGTAGTGCATCACGAACTTTGTGAACTACACCGGACCCAAATGCAATTTTTGTTGGTTTCTTAGCGTTAGATTTTTTTTTCACTTGACGCTCATCAAATCTGCATCCCATACCAAATCGCCTTTTCCCCTTCATTATATTAGTGACCAGCCAAGCTGCAGCCTTCTCACGTATGCCGCTTTCCTTAGATTTCACAATATTCCAAGCAGATTGTTCTAGCTGTTGATCTGCTGTATGTCTGGCGGAAATATCGTCCGGGTTTTGAGAGTAAGCTATATCGTGTCGCTTACAAGCAACGTCTAATTGATTGATGCCCGGATCTCCACGAGCCAACCTTTTCTCTAATTTGGTTCCTGGTCCGCAATATTGGTATCCTCCGGGGATATGTACTTCGAATGGAAGTTTATTTATTATAGAGTTAACAACACCTCTACCGGATTTCTTCCCATAACCGTTTTTACGTGTGCAACGTTCGACAACCATCATATAAATGACTGATCTTCAATTGAATCCTATTTATATGTTATCCAACCGTCACACGATGCGTATTGTCCAGCAGAAAGAAAAGTTCCATGTTGATAATTTGGATGAGAAAGTCGGCTGCGGATTGGTAAATTCCTTTCACCGACATGGAAAATTGTTCCCCTCAACAATTCGCGGACTTATAGTTGGCCCTTCGAATTGTGGTAAAACGAATGTTATGATATCCTTACTAACTAATGCTGATGGTCTACGTTTCGCCAATGTCTACATTTATTCGAAATCAACATACCAACCGAAATATGAGTATCTACGTAAAGTACTCGAACCGATAAAAGGATTAGGATTCTACACATTCGATAATAATGAGGATATAATGGAACCATCCGAGGCTGAGCCAGATTCGATATTTATATTTGATGATGTCATGTGTGAGAAACAGGATGTTATTCGCTCATATTTCAGTATGGGCCGACATAAGAATATTGACTGTTTCTATCTAGCACAGACAGTCTCTAGAGTGCCAAAGCAATTGATTCGTGATAATTCCAATTTCATAATCATGTTCAAACAAGATGTGATGAATATGCACCACATTTTTTCCGACCACGTATCGCCCGATATGGATTTCAAGCAATTTCAATATATGTGCTCACAATGTTGGGATAATAAATACGGCTTTCTAGTGATTGATAAAGATAGAGAAATAATGGATGGTCGATACAGAAAAGGATTTGATAGCTTCATATACCCTTGATACCCGATGTGTACACTTTCATTTAATCATTAGCCGTAGTGCGAGCGTCATCGTTGTACTATACATTCGCATAATCCAACATGGAGGTCTCAACAAGTGATGGTGAAATTAACCTGAAACGACAGCTCATCGAGGCAACCGATGCAGTACGAAAGAAATTCAAGTCTCTCAAAAACGATCGTGCTGAGAGTAAGGTGGCACTCGAGAAGATCTATGAGCCGATAACCAAACCATTGAATGACATTTCGGCAGTGACAAAGGCTAACCTGGCGAAAAATTCGGGATACAATACAAACAAAAATATGACGAAATTGCAACCTATACATCAATCCACCCCAATTTCATCGACAATTTATGAGACGCCTCAGCAAACAGACAAAAAAACTAGAAGAGAATCACCCGCCGATAGTCAACCATCATCTGATGACTCGAATGATGATTTCCAGTTCAATACTTTGATGGAGACCCCACCTACGTCATCATCGGATGGTTCACATTTAATTACCCAGCTGAATAGGAGTGATGAATCTGTAATTAGAAAGTTACAGGACATCGCTGAAGGACACGTACGGAAATTGGAATCTGGGGATACTAGTAACTATGACACAGTATACGGTATACATATAGATCCAAAATCGCGACGGTTGAAAATGGGTAATGCCGAAGTTCGTTTCTCAAATGGAAATATTGAGTTGGGTGGCAATGATGGAAAGAAGAAACCGAAAATTTATCCCGCTAGTTCGGATTTATATAAAGTGCTATTCCTCAAATACACACCGCAAACTTTGAGTGAAGATGATAGGAATATATACACAACGTTATTGG